TATTATATATTATATATATTATATATATACATTAAAATACTGGGCATTCAATTACAAGTCTATAAAAAATAAAAGCACTTTAGTCCTGGATTCTACAAGTGTTGCTTGACAGGATTAAAATTAAAATCATTCAGTCGTTGGTGTAACATATGTCAGAAATGTCACAAATGCAATACACTCCCTTTCCTCAAATAAAGACTAATACTGTACTTTTAATCGGCAGATTGGAAATACAGCCGGATGAATTGTTTTCTTATAGTTATTTTCTCATTTTGATAACATTTAAAGAATTTATGAGCTGTTTACAATCAGATACATATTTCGTTTATACACATATACGCCTGAATGTTGGAGAACTGTCTACAGGCTTTTTCCACCATTTATCTAATAGTATCTCTGTAGTTAGTCATAGACACGAGGAGATCTGTCGGTAGTTTTCCTGACAGGATACATTTTGAAGGACGAACTGATAAAAAATAAACTATTGGGAAATGAGAGTGGGTATATACGAAGCTCATTATATTTGCGGTACTGTAAGGCTTGATTTGACTTTAATGACCCTTTCAATCCAGATTATTGCGGTTTAACACTCATGTGGATATTTTATTCCCTCTCTATTAATTTTTCAACTAGACTTTGCCAGGTAGGTAGCCTTGAAATAAAAAACGTATCTGTCTAAAGCTTAGTCTAGATCTGCAACAAAAACATTTGCCCCTAAATAAATCCAAACGATAATTAAATGTTCTTTGTTCGTGCCCGAACAAAAATTTGAGGGCAGATGTAGGCAACGCCAGAAAGTAAATCCTAAATTTTTAGGTGATTTTCAAATGGCTGTAACTTCGACAAAAATGGTCCAAGAGCAAAAAAAAAGCAAATTGAAGCTTTAAGTTTCTAGTTGCAGTATCTGAAAGTCCAAGGGCTTCAATAATTTTTTTTTGGCAAAAATACTCAATTTTTACATTTTTTTAAATCAAGTTTCTTGCATTGAAAAAAATTGTTTTACCAAAAAGCGATAAGAACGTCTTATAGAGGTTTTCAAAACCCTGCTTAGATTTTCTGTACGATCGTTAGAAGTCCCAGAGTAATTAATTCTTATCAAAGCCAAAAAGGTCATTTTTGCTTTGAACGACGATTACTCAGCGACAAATCATTGTATAAAGCTCTAAAATCAAACTAAAAGAACTGACAGGTGAGATTGCCAAAAAAATGATTGAAGCTTTTGAAAGTGACGAAAATTTTGAAAAATTTTTTCGCCGTATTTCTTCCCGTTTCTTAAAGGCGATCAACGATAAAATTTTTTTGATTTTCATATTCTGAAATTAGAAACTTCAATTTACTTCTTCTTTTATTGTTCTACGACCATTTTTCGCCAAGGTACAGGCTCTTGAAAATCACTTAAAAATTTAGGATTTTTTTTCCTTTAATTTTTGTGACTAGTTTATTATTCATTTGGTTTCAATGTTTTAAAGGATATATTTAAAAGTGAAGCAGCTGAAATTATTAGAGTGAGGTGAAAATAATGATTCTGGATTCCGAGAATGACGCTCACTTACAATTAGTCGAAACTTTGATTAAAAAAGATGAAACAAAAAATACAAAATTTAGAATTACGGTGCTCTATATTTGTGCATGTTTATAAACAAACATGTCCACTGGTTGTTTGTGGGCAAATCTTTGTGTTTTTTTTGTTCTCCATCTTCGATGGAAAACAAATAATATCGATGCATTTGTATAAATGTATTCACAAAAATAAATGTAAACAGTTTTTATACATGGCTTTTTATGTTTATGGGCAAAAGTATGTAAACCTAATCCGTTGCTCTATATGGAATTACAATTGTGTTATTTTGTTCTCCATTTTAGATGGAAAACAAATAATATCGATGCATTTGTATAAATGTATTCACAAAAATAAATGTAAACAGTTTTTATACATGTCTTTTTATGTTTATGGGCAAAAGTATGTAACCTAATCAGTTGCTCTATACGGAATTACAATTGGCAGCTGTTTTTTGTGTTATCGTTGATAATGTAATTAAATTTTCAGCCTACAATTTAATATGAAGATAATTTATTTGAACAAGTACTATATTTACAAAAAAGTATAAAGAGTAATCAAGTGGATACTGAATCATGCGAAGATTATGATCGGTTAGATGAGCACCGTTTATTATAATGTCGATAAACAACGATTAGTGTATATTAAAAAATTAAACATACCAAGATTACATTTTTATTAAGCTAAATTATTACTTACATTTTTTTTGAGCGAACGCGACAGCTATTAGTTTAACTGAACAGATAAAAAATCGCTTCTTTTGTTCTGATATAACTTCAAATTTGATTTATAGTGTTTTATAAATCGATTAAAACAAGTACTTAACTTTCGCAATGCTTTCTGTTGCGTGCGAATGGTTTTATCTGTATTAATTAGAGTTTCTGCAGCTGTAAGCATAAATTTGATTAAAGAACAATTTATACTTTTAGGGAAAATAATAAAACATAGTTAACAAAAATATGATTGCCAATGTATTAGATCATGAGTTAATTTTTTTAAACAGAAACATAGTTGGAAATGGTAGAGTCCTTAGAACAGATCCTCGAAGCACACCAGTTTTCCACGCAGCGCATTTGTGGTTTTAAACCGAGCTTCATGTTTACGTGCCTTTCCGAGAATTGCGGTGAAGTCTCGGAAAACTAGAGCGGGAGACTCAATTCTAGACTGTACAAAAATGAAATGGATAATACGCTACAGTGATGCTTGTGTTTGAATCTGGATAAGTCACGCAAACCGCGCGCCGTGTTAAAATTATATAACCTCCACTGATTGTTCTTTGTTACATTCCATTTCCTTTCCGAGAATACCCTGAATGAAATAGCAGCCGACAATAAATAAATTGAGCCATAAAAGAGATGTGTTCACTGCGACGCGTTTCGTATTCCACCAATTAGTTTATTACCTCTAATGTGCGATCGCAATTTAGCTTATAAAAATTGGTCTTTGAACCTGTTGCGTTAGCGTGTGACGTACCGCCAGTTTACGATTTTGTTTTGCGCGTGATGTCGGCGCAAATCTGTTTTGCA